TTTCTTCATCTATACAAAGGAGCTAAATTCTGCTTACTTTATAAGGCATTGTCAGGTTCATACAAAATACTGCCTATGAAAGTCCTCAGAAAAAAAAAAAAACAAAAAAACCTCAGGTCAGAGGGTCCAAGTGCCAGTGTTAATGGCACCTGTGTCTGGTTGGAGGATGCTCTCAGGGCTCAAAGTGAGAAGACAGCTGGGTGGAGATGGCAGGACACCTCTGCCCCCAGGCCCAGAGCTCCTGCGGGTCAGAGGACAAGGCCAAACACATCAAGAACATGAACAGAAGCTGCTTCAAGACATTTATAAATTAAATCCCCACTTTCTCAAATTACCCGTTGGCTTCAAATGTGAAGAACAAAGAAGAGCTCTGCTGACAAACCCCCAGATCCTCTCTTGGGGGCCTAGTGATTATTCCCAGGGACATCCAGCAGGAATAGCCTCCACCAGCCCTTGTTCTGTCAAAACCAGCCCAGGCGTCACTGTCGGTTCCTGGGTCGCAGAGCTCGAGCCCCTGTGGCAGGGGCAGGGACAGAGTCGCAATTGCTGTTGAGACAAACCAACCCCGTCCCTGGGGGGACCTCCTCCTGGCCCAGTTCCTGGGGACTCACAGCAGAAGCCGGGCCATGTTGCCCTTGGATGTCAGCCCCCTGAAGTCATTTAAGAGCCCCATCAGGCCTGCTTGAGGGGACCTTGGCCCCACTCCGATCCCCTTGCTGCCTCCACCCTCAGCTCTGCCGGGGCCCCGGGCTCTGACCCTGACGTCCAGCAGCACCCCTGCTGCCACCTCTCCATGACACCTTCTCAGTCTTGCCCCGAGGCGCCCGCAGTTTCCATCTTCCGGGCCCGGAAGCCCCTGCTCTTCGGTGGCCTTCCCGTGCAATGACATCACGCTCTCTTGAACGGTACGGCAGTCTTTCAGATGGTCACTCCTTAGCCGGAGTCTCTGGCCAGGGCGTCAGGAGGACTCCCAGCAGCAGGAGGCTCGGTTAAAGCCTTTGGGAATCTGTGAACAACTCATGCCTTTAGGTTGTTGGGTTGTAGGGACAATTCCAGAGATTTGTCTGGAAAAACAGACGTCTTTATCACAATCTCAAAAAATTGTAATGGGATGGATGTCTTATAATGTTGAGCTTTATAAGGAAGGTGGCGTATTGTACTTGGTTATTGATTAGAAGCATTTTACTTAATAGGAGAGTTGCTAAGTTTTTACATATGATATAAATTTTAAAAAGAAAGCAAAAGAAAAATAGACTCTGTAATTATGGCGCCACCCTGCTGAATAGGGTTCAACAGCATGAGAAAGTCTTGATTTCATGTTGTAAAAGTAAAGTGGTTCAGAAATAAATTTCAAGATGATAGGTTGTGAGAGCAGGAGGGATAAAGCCACGGACTACGTTTTGCAATTACTTCGATATACACACATCAACACTGTGCTATATTAATCAAGTATTTAGTATTTAAGAACTCCAAAGAGTAACATTTCACAGACATATCATATGTGCAGAAATACACTTTCTGTACAAGAGAACTATTTTAAAGACATATTTCCCTTTTGGTCTCATGTTTCTGTTTCTGGGGAAATATATTAAGTTCCTATAAATTTGATACCGTAATACTTTCGGTTCTATACTGCTACCTTGAAAGGTTTCAGACCTTTGGGTTATAAGATCCCTTAACACTTTCTAGATCAGGTGTCTTCTATATCAAAAGGAATTATTAAGTGTTCCCATCTAATTTGGGCTTTAGAGATGCCTTCTAAAAGAGATTTTGTTCTTCTATGGAGTCTCTCAAGTAAAATAGAATAATCTCGCACTCTGTTGCATAATTCATCTATATTCATGTAAGGGCCTCATTGTAGTTTTGATTTGCGTGAAATTATTTTCTTAATTTCCTTTTCTGATGGTTCGTTGTTGGTATATAAAAATGCAACTGAGTTTTTAAAATTGATTTTGTATCTTGCAACTTTGCTGAATTCATTTATTAGTTCTAACAGATTTTTTTTTAACACATTTTTGTGGAATCTTTAGGATTTTCTATATATACGATCACATCATCTGTGCACAGAGATAATTTTACTTCTTCCTTTCCAATTTGGTTGCCTTTTATTTCTTTATCATGCCTAATTGCTCTGGGTAGCACATCCATTAGTATGTTGAATGGAAGTGGTAAGAGGGAGCATATAGTTTGATCCTGTTTTTTATCCGTTTAGCCAATCTGTGTCTATTTTTAAAGTTTTTTAAAAAATAAATGTATTTATTTTATCTGTTTATTTTTGGCTGCGTTGGGTCTTCGTTGCTGCGTGTGGGCTTTCTCTGGTTGCGGCGAGTGGGGGCTACTCTTCGTTGCGGTGCCAGGGCTTCTCATTGCAGTGGCCTCTCCTGTTGTGGAGCACGGGCTCTAGCCGTGCAGCCCTCAGCAGTGTGGCACGCGGGCTCAGTAGCTGTGGCTCGTGGGCTCTAGAGCGCAGGCTCAGTAGTTGTAGTGCATGGGCTTAGTTGCTCCGCAGCATGTGAGATCTTCCCGGACCAGGGCTCGAACCCCTGTCCCCTGCACTGGCGGGCAGATTCTTAACCACTGCGCCACCAGGGAAGCCCCCAGTCTATGTCTTTTGATTTGTCTATGTCAATTTAAAGTAATTACTGATAGGGTGATAGCCATATGAAAATTCTTTTGAGACCCAAGACCCTCTGATAGGATCTTAGGGACCTACTAGGTATTCTGGGACTTAACAAGTGTCCCCAGGCCACACTTTGAGAACTGCTGCTCTAAGGTATTTTATCAATATGTTTATGTTGACAAGATGTTTATGACTTGACAAAAACAAACAAACCCAAACCAAACCTATGTTTCCAAGGAGAAATATATAATATACTCAACTAATCACTTTTGGTTCAGAATAAGTAGGAATAATTTTGCACCCCATGACATCATAGGTGTTAAAGGCATACCCTAAAAGTACAGGGGATGTAATATCTGTGAAATGTTTTTGATTCCAGGAACATTTCGAGCAGATTCTTAGGCCACAAATATTTCTCTTTTGTGTCTAGTGAGAAATTATTGGAATTTGCACAACTTTCTTCCCTTCTACTTCAGGATATGAAGAGCCTGTGGCTAGGCTGGACTACTACTCCTTACCCTGTCCCGCACCCCCAGGAGAGCGCTACTGTTGCATAGTAAACCAAGAAATAACAAGAGTCAGGCGTTGGAGGGGAGGTTAAATTAGTGGGTAAATTCTAGAATCTTCCAACAGTGAAATTCTACAACTCTGCCCTAAAATTCATGGCTCCATTATGGGAGATGTAACTTCAAAATGCTAATTTGATAGGAAGCATACTCACCCTCACATTTAATACTTTTCCTTCTTCCTCCTTCTTAAAGAGTGTCTAGATGTAAAGTTCTTATGTAATTGCACAAAACAAATGCTTTGGAACACAGGGCCCAATCTGAAGCATTATAAGCCTCAAACATTTAATGTCACAAAATATTCGTCTACACTTTTGCAGATATATCATGGAAGTGCCGTAATTACTATTTGTAGTGGGTAGAGACATTTTGTAATCTTTTTGTAGGTTGCTTTATAAAGATCTTCCTTGACTTAGGATGGGATTATGTCCCAATAAACCCATCGTAAGTTGAAAACATCCTAAGGTGAAAATGCTTTTAATACATCGAACCTACCAAACATCACAGCTTAGCCTCCCCTGCCTTCAACGTGGTTAGAACACTTAATATTAGCCTACAGTTGGGCAAAATCATCTGACACAGAGCCTGTTTTAGAATAAAGTGTTGACTGTCTCATGTAGTTTGTTGAACACCGTACTGAAAGTAAAAACCAGAATGGTCTTAAGGGTACCAGTGGTTCCCCCTCGTGATTGTGCGGCTGACTGGGCGCTGTGCCCCACGAGGGTATTTCGGACAGCGCATCGGGACCGCACATCGCAGCCCCGGAAGAGATCAAAAATCGAAGCACGGCTTCCAATGAATATGTAACGCTTTCACACCATCAAGAAGTCGAAAAATCGTTAAGTCCAGACGTCTGTACTTAGTGAAGTATTTATTGAATACCTACTACATGTTAACCACCTAGTTTCACACAATTCTTAAAGTAAAAAAGGCCATTCACTGCACTCACTTTGCCCTTTTGTAACGAAATAAAAGGTACTTCGTTTCTCAAGCAATAAAAGCCTTGTTAATTCACTTCCTCAACTTCAAGTTGTAGAGATGCCCAATATAAGAAACCCGTTTTTCAATGGAGCTAATAATGCAATTCTGTTGCAGGGACATAAAAAAGGGAAAACCCCAAAGTATGGCTTATTTACCACTGGAAGAAGAGATAAAGGAAGACGTCAACAGAGGAAACAACGAACACTGAAATGAACGTGACTTTCTGTGCAGCCCCAAGAAGCAGGACAGCACCAAGAGCTAGAAACCTATGCGTAAGTAGGTGTCAGCTCAGAACAGAATAAGGTTTCCAGCAGTTGGAGCTGGTGTGAGCGCTGGAACAGTGAGGGGAGGAAGGGTGGGTTCCGAGGTCCCCTAACGGACCTTCCCTCCAGGCTCCACACCGAACATCGCTGCTGCGAGGTCCCCACACGGCACAGCGGGGGCTGCGCGCTCCACCGACTCCGGAAGCTAGGCTGCCCGCCGAGGGGGCTCCGGCCTCGTCCCCGTCCGGTGCCCGCAGCTCGGGGCTGTGTGAGGGGGGGGACGCGAGCGGGGAGGACGCGCGCTCCGCGGGGTCGCAGGCACTTCTAGTCCCGCAGGCCGCCCTGCCCCGGAAGGAACGCGGCCGCAGAGGACACGTTCAGGCCGGAGGCGCCCCCGGGTCGGGCGGCGGGCGGCGGGCAGGCGGGGACCGGCCCAGGGAAGGGGAGCACCCCGCCGCGCGCCCGCAGCCCTAACCCCGCGACCCCGCGTCGACGTCGGCGGCGGCGACGGCTCCGGCGGGAGCGCGCGAGCCCGGGGCGCCGCGCGATTGGCCGGCCGGGCGCCCGCTCCCAGAATGCAGCGCATGGCGCGTCATTGAAGAGAGACCATGATGGCGGCGGCGCTGGGGCCCCCAGAAGTGATCGCTCAGCTGGAGAACGCGGCCAAAGTTCTGATGGTGAGTAGCCGCGTCCCCGCGCCCCGCGTCTGCTGCCTCCGGCGGCCCTGCTGCGCTCGGCCTTGGCGCCCGCAGGGCTGGCGGCCGGCCGCGGCCTCCCGGGAGCCCGGGGCTGGAGGGGGCGGCTGGCGTGGCGCAGGACTCTCCCTCCGGCTGTGCGCCTGCTTCCGTGCCCCTGGCCGGACTGTCCCTTCCCTGGGTGTCCGGTGCCCCCGCCGCGCAGCGGAGTGGGGAGCCGAAGGAAAAGGGCTTCTTGCGCCCCAGCCCTCCCGCGCGGGGTCGGGGAGAGGCGGGCGCGAGGTCGGGGGCTTGTGCGCGCCGCTGGGGAGTGGGTGCTGGCCGAGGGCTGGCCCGGCCCGGGTGCTGTTAGCAGCGCTCGTTCCCCTCGTGCCTTCGGGTCCGCGAGTGCTTTCTCCGGCCTGCAGCCACGGCTGGGCAACCGCAGTCGGCCGCACGTGGAAGGACCGGCGGGCGGGAGGGAGGGGAATCTTAGGGACCAAGGTCATTGGGGCAAAACTTTGTCTAGTACTGAGCTCTGTGCGGGTCGCGCGTTGAGAAGAGTTGGGTCTACGGTCCTCGTTGACTTCTTTCTTCCCCTTACAGTACAGTGAACAGAGCAATTTAGTGAGTAGGTTATTTACCTACTCAAGGAGGAGGTGAAGACTTCCACGCAGGGAGTAGAAGTAAGGATAAACCATATTTAGTTACTCAGTAAACTATTTGCTGGCTCAGTTTTGTTTTTTGTAAATCATGACTTCCGTGCTTGTAGATCTCTTTGGAAGCTAGAGGCTTATTTGATTCCTTGAATTGACACAGCCTTTCGAAGAAATGAATGTAGCCAGCTTCGTTACCTTTTTGCACCTTTTTTCCCCTTTTGGTTCGGTGTTTGGGTTATGTGTTCAAGCATCATAGTTTAAAATATTTGAACTAATTCTAGCATAGTTTGTAGTTCCTTTTCTCAAGTTTTGTTTTCACACACAACACCAGGTAGCTCATGAAATTTAGCTCATGAAACTGAGAAGCCTAATTAAAAGCAGGATTTACTTGCTGCATTATGAGCGAAGTTAGGTGAATCGTTTTGGCACAAAAACTGACTTAGAGAACGTTTTCAGACTCTTCCAAGTTAAGTCCAGAAAAAACTAGCTACTATTCCCCCTAAATACAAAGTTCTTAAAATCTCTGACTTACAGCGTTTCCTGAAATATCTGAAAAATTTCTAGGAGCTAGAGGCC